AATAAAAAATCATCACAATCTACGGTGTCGAATAAAAAAAAGAAGAGAAATAAAGTCAAAACTATTGACAACGAAAAATTATTTCAACAACCGATTGTTGAATCTGAACGAATTGAAGAAAATGAATCTTCAAGTATTATAAATAATAAATTAGAACCATTTATAGTTGTAGAAGCGAACAAAGAAATTCAACCGATCGTCGAAAACAATTTCATTGCAACTAATGGAAAATTACCACAATCAATTACTGAAGACTTACCACAATCCGTAATCTCAAACGGAACAACAAAAACATCTGTTGAAAATAATTCTCCGATCGTTGCAAATAAAAACTTAGAAAAATCTACAATTATAACATCATCACAACCTATTACCTCGAATGATGAAGTTAATAAATCTACACCAATAAATAAAAAGACAGCTGCTACTACAACTACTAAAAAAGTAGTACAAACTGCATCATCTAATAAAGAAAATCAACATTTTATTACTTCAAATAAACAATTAGTACAACCTACAATTGTAGTTAAAGAACCAGAACAACGTAAATCTATAACTGAACAAACTGTTTCAGCAACATCAAAAGGTAATACATGTTCGGATATTATTAATATACAATCAGTAAAAGTAAATCATGAATCATCACAAACTGCAAATTCACTTAAGAAACCAGAACATTCTACAGTATCAATTGAAAAACCTAAACAAACTGTTATAATACCTGAGGTAACTGAACAAATTTCTTGCACAAATACAAATAAAAAATCAGAACAAACTGAAGTATCACTTGAGAAACAAGATCAACCAATTACTCTAATCGAAGAACCACGTGCATCAACAATATCGAATAATGAAACGAAAAAATCTTCATCTAAAAATAAAAAATCACGACGATCAAATACTAAAAAAGGAAAATCAGCACAAGTAGTGCCAATTAATAATACTGAACCTATTCTACAAGATGAAGAAGAAAATATTGAATCAGTATCACCTTCTGTTAATCTAACAACTATTGTTCAAGAACAAATTCCTACTAATATTGTAACAGGAGTTGATACTTCACCAATAATAATACCTGAAATATCATTGAATGGTAAATTATCGAATAATAGGTAAATATAAATAGATTATTAAAAAGAAAAGCTTTTTTAAGAAGTTATTTTATGTTTTATAGTGAAAACCTTCAAAATTCAAGTGCCTTACGATCTCGTAAAACGAAAAAGAAAAAAACAATAGCTACAACAACAACTACTGTCATTGAAAAACCTTCATTTCCTCCGATGTCAACATCAACAACAATAACTAATCGCAATTTCTTTGTTACTATTCAAGAATTTCTACATGATAGAAGAATTATTGCATCCAAATACGTTTTCATTCTTGTTTGTCTTTGTTTTTCAATTATTATTATTATTCTTTCTTATAAGTGATATTTATTTCACGTTGTTAATTGAATACAATCAACAATGTGTGATCGTTTCCTCATTTTTTTTTTCTCTTGAAACAAAAAAATAACAACCAATATTCTCTATTGTTAACATTTCATTTATTTCCTCTATTTGCAAGTTTGTGTGTGAACAGTGTTTTTGTTTTGTAATATACAAATAATTTCAGTTGGGATTAGGAAAAATGACATAATAAAAAAAAAAACGGAAATTCCAAATAAATCACGCATGTATTGTTAATTAACAAGAAGAAAGTTCGTCAAAATCAATCTTTTTCCTTATAGATTTTTCGAATGTTAATTAAAGTTTTATTATTTAATCATTCATTTCAACGTATAACAGCCTATCGTTGGTTATCTAAAACTCATAAACCTTCTCTATTTGAACCGAAATGGGCATCAGTATTTGCCCAGGCAACAACTAATTCATATCTACCCTCTTTACCTGTTAAGAATGAAAAACCATTTGTTATGCTTTTTCCACCACCAAATGTAACTGGAACTCTTCATCTAGGTCATGCATTAACTACATGTATACACGATAGTCTTTTAAGATGGCATACGATGCAACGAAAATCATATGCTCGTTGTATACCTGGTTATGATCATGCTGGAATTGCTACACAGGTAAATTTGGAATATTGGAAACACTATATTTTATTTTTTGTAATTGAAGGTTATAGTTGAAAAACATATAGCTCCTCAAACACGAGAACAAATGGGAAGAGAAAAATTTCTTGAAGAATGCTATCAATGGTCTTCAACATATCGTCAAACAATTGAAACACAATTAAAACGTCTATGTCCATTATTTGATTGGTCAAATACTTATTTTACTATGGATAAAAATCTTATTGAATATGTTCGAGATTCATTTTTAAGTTTATATAATGATGGTCTTATTTATCGTGATCGACGTATTGTTAATTGGTGTTGTCAATTACGATCAGTTGTTAGTGATATTGAAGTAGATTCAAAAGAAATCAATGGTCGACAAAAAATTTCAATACCTGGATATTCAAAAGAAATTGAATTAGGTGTACTTTATAATATTGCCTATAAAGTTATTGATGAACAACAACAGCAAGATAAAGAAATTATTGTTAGTACAACACGACCCGAAACAATTTTAGCTGATACAGGTATTGCTGTTCATCCATTAGATTCTCGTTATATGTCATTAAAAAATAAGTTTGTTCAAAATCCATTTAATCCTCAAGATCGTTTACCGATTATATTTGATGAAAGTGTTGATCAAAATTTTGGTACTGGTGCAGTTAAATTAACACCAGGTCATGATGCATTTGATTATACATTAGCAATGAAACATAATCTTCCAGTTCGAACGATGTTAAATGATCAAGGTCGTGTACAACTTCATTTAGATCATCCATTTTATCAACAATTAAATGATTTACATCGTTATGATGCACGTGATAAAGTACTTCGATTACTTGAAAATCAAGGATTAAGAAGAGGAGAACAGGAACAACAAAAAATGATAATACCTATATGTAGTCGAACAGGTGATATTATTGAACCTATGGTTAAAGAACAATGGTTTCTTGATACAACTGAAATGTGTGAGTTCTTATTAAAAAAATATATTCTTTTCTTATGAATTTTATTTTAGCTCGTCAAGCTTCATCAATTGTTGATAATGATACACTTAAACTAACACCATCATCTACTCGTAAAGTATGGAAATATTGGTTGAATAATAATCGACCATGGTGTTTATCAAGACAACTTTGGTGGGGACATTCAATACCTATGTATCGATGTTCAATCAAAAATAAACCCAATGAATATCAATGGATTGGTGCTAAATCACTTGAAGAAGCAACTATCAAAGCTGCTCAATTATATCTAGATATTTTACCTGAAGCAATTCATATTGAACAAGATCAAGATGTACTTGATACATGGTTTTCATCAGGTTTATTACCTATATCTATATTTTATAATACGAATAAACAAGAATTTCCAACAACATTACTCGATACTGGTTATGATATAATGTTTTTTTGGGTTGCTCGAATGGTTATGCTTGTAAATATTCTTTTATATAATTATTTCTTCTAAAAAAAATCTTTGAATTTTCTAGAGTCTTAAATTAATTAATCAGGTACCATTTCATGAAGTTCTTTTTCATGGTTTAATTTGTGATCCAAATGGTAAGAAAATGTCAAAATCATTAGGTAATATAATTGATCCGATGGATGTTGTTAATGGAATAAGTCTTCAATCATTGCAAACACGTCTTGAACAATCACATTTATCACGTAATGAAATCGAACGATCGAAACGTATACAAGCTAATCAATATCCATCAGGTATTGAACCAATTGGTTCCGATGGCCTTCGTCTTTGTCTTTTATCTCATGATATATATCAACAATCAATACGTTTCGATCCAACACAATTTGATTATGTCGGACGTTATTGTAATAAATTTTGGAATGCTTATAAATATGTAACAGAATTTGCATTGATCGATATGAATTTTCGTGATGAAAAGTTTTCAAATATAACTTATGAACAAATAGAAAAATTAAGTGAAAATCGTCTTGTAGATCGTTGGATATTAAATGAATTAAATAAAACAATAGGAAAAGTGAATGATTGTTTAAATAATTATACATTTCATTTAGCTATTGTTCGTTTACGTGATTCATTTCTAAAAGATTTTTGTGATTTTTATATTGAATTTAGTAAAATTCCTATTAAACAACAATCAAATGAAAATATTAAATCAAATGTTCAGATATTACTCTATTATTTACTTAAACAATATCTTATTCTTTATCATCCATTTTTACCAGCTATGACTGAAGAATTATGGCAAGATTTAACACAAGGAAAACAAGGTTATCTTATTCATCAATTATATCCAACAATGAAACATATTGAAAAGTAAAAATTCTTGAATTAGTCAACAAATCGTTTTTGTATTTCTAATTTTTGATTATTTCTAGTATCAATCCTATGGATTCTCAAGTAATACAAATAATTCGTTTAATCTTGAAAAATTCGACATATTTTAAACAAATGCTTCGTTTATCACGTGATTCTGATATAATTATTTATTTTAATAATCAAAATCATGAGGATTTATCAACACATATTGAAAATTATCTTACAGAAATTCGTACAATAACTCGGTTGAATAATATTCATGTTGTATGCTCATCATCGAATAATTCTCTTGATAAATCAAAATTTTCATTTCACGATTATATTACGGATAATGTTGAACTGATATTTAACTTAAATGATGATAAACAAACAAAAGAATTGGTTGAAAAACATGAAGAACGATTAAGTAAACAAGTTGATAAATTACAGGATGATCTTGGTGTTAATGAAACTGCGACAAAATTTTATCAAGAAAATAATGATGAAGAAAATATTGAACGTGAAAAAAATCGACGTGAAATTATTATGGAAGATATGAAATTAACACAACGAAGACATGAAAGATTTGTTGAATTAGCTCAAAAAAGAACTGTTATTGAAAAGAAGAATAAAAAAGAAAAAAGATCTTAGTTAATAAGAAGCTTTTTTTTTTGTTCATTTATAATTGAAAACTAGATTAGTTTTCATTTCAATACCCCTAAGTCTGTATGCAATAGATCATGCTTCTACAATTTCAAAATAGATTCATCAATCGTGGATGTTTCTAACGTCTTAATGAATCGTTGTAAACTATCAGTTAAATTTAATCTATCTAATTTTCGTTTTAAAAATTCAAAATCAATAATTTCTTGTAATGGTCGTTGAAATAACATATTTTCATTTTTAGTTAATTTATGAAGAAAATAACGTTCAGCATAACAACAAATGAGAACTACTTCATTTGATTGTAATGTATTTAATGAATTAATATCAAGAAAAGTAAAAAGTTCATTAATATCATCAAGTGTTTTATAATGATTAAAATATTCAAAAACAATATCTTTTGCATCTTCAATATCTATTACTGTATCACGTTGAATTTTTCGTATTAATTTAAAAATAATTTGTTGACGATTAAGCGATGCTTTCGTATATTTAGTTAGAAAAGATAATGGTGAAAGATTTTCTAATTGATCATAATCTGATGGAAGAGTACATTGAATCGATGAAGCATTTAAACTTATTGGTGTTTTCACTTTTCCTAGTTTTCTTTCTTCTAAACGAATTTCTTCATTAGAATGATCGTTCAATTGAGATGTTTGTCTAATTTGTTCCATTTGAAGAAATGTTCCTTTATCTTTAAAATTTATAAAATCTTTGTGCATATCATTGATTAAACCAGTGTAATAACCATCTAAATAGACAAAATCAAGAAATATTGATTATATTTGAATAAATATGTTATACCTGGTACTGCTCTAACTTGTTTATTTTCAATGAGTTTGAATTGTTTCCTTTTTTTCGATGAGTCAAATGATTTTAAGTTAGTTATTGCAGTTGGTTGTATAGTTTCATTGGCAAAGGATGTCTTTTTATTTCTTTCATTTTTTTCTTGAACATTCATCGATGATGTTGATTCATATGAAACATTATTCAATATTTTAAAAAATTCATCATCTTTTGAATGATAGTTTCCTTAGTGATTTCGATATAATTTAGTAGTATTTATTGATTGTTAAATCTAATCAATAAAAGTGTATTTGAAATCACTGACAAATGAATATTGAATATAGTTCGCTTTGCTCTAAAGATTTTGTGCTCATATATTTTATCATAACCGTTAATGTAATAACATTACAAGATGCCACAATGACTCCTTCTAGTTGTATTCACTTTGTCTTTATGTATATATAAATATAGAATGAAGACTACTGAAATGTAGTTATATTATTTAGATGCATCAGTAAAGAAGTACTATATAATTATCTTTGTTGAGAATAAAAAAGATGGAGAGAGAAGAAGAATTGATTGCCTCCTCGAAAAATATTTGCCTTGCGCCGTCTATATATTCCTTTCAATGCAAATTTGATTCTCGACGTGCTCCATGTTATGATTCATATGTATGCACGATTATTAATAGCAATATGTTCTAATAAATTCAAGTGATATTGACGAATCGAAAAGAGAAACTATTTTATTGCAATGGCTGACAGCTGTGAAAGAATAAGTATCGATAATTGAATTTTTGTCGAATAACATATGCTATATAGTCTAATAAAAACGTTTCAGCAAAATTAATTTTTCAGCATTCTTTTTACTATTAGGAGGAGCGGATGTGATTCAAATGGTAATATAGATAGTACGAGACTCTGTCTGTTTGTATAGATTTTTTATAATAAAAACAGGTTCCAGTACCTTTTAGCATTTCGCATTTTGTAACCACGTGAGTTTTACTCAAATAAAAAATAAATGAATCGATAGCGAATTTCATGCTCTGTCAGTTCATAAAAAATATTTTTTGCTAGAGACGATCGTCATCTTCAAACCTTGACTGTTGTAATGAGAATAGTTGAAAAAAAATAGTTTCATTTTTCGGTCAAAATAATAGGTGGAAAATTAGTGATAGTAGATTTTTAAATACACCATTTTGTTCAGTTTTGAAAACTAGTATTATTACAACAGTCTAGGTCTAGAGACAAAGGTTATCTGTAGTAAAAATATTTTCCTATCGATTTGTATATTTTATGTTTGTTTTTAGGAAAAATCCTTTGGTTAGGAAATATGAAATACCAAAAGGTACTGAAACTGATCTTTGCATAGAAAGAAATTATCTGAATCAGATTCGTATCTCTTAATATTAAAAAAGAAATTTTGAAAAATTAATTTCGTTTCAACTTTTTCATTAGACTATACAAGCGTATTTTATACATTATATCAACTGCTTAACAAGGTCACGTTAAATTCATACATTAATCGATGTTCTTGACTCCTTTCTTTCTAAAATCTTGTTTTTTTTAAGTTTTAGACAGGATTCTTTACTCCATTCCTTTTATATCAGACTCGTACCTGAGAAAATTTATCTTGCTTATCAGGCAAGATTCTTGTGCTTTATTTTTGCCATCGGCATATATCACCTATGCTTTGATTTTGTGCGCTATTTTACTACAAAATCTCGTACGACTGATAGATAGCAAAAAAAAAAAATAAGCACAATAACGCATTAAAACTAACGAAACGGCTAATGAGAAAAAAGTTAATGAATTTTGTAGCGGTTTTTAAAAAAGTTTTGATCGATCTAGGTGGAGAGCCTTAAGAAAAAAATTTATATATTTGAAATATTAAATTACTGTTCTTATACGATGATACTGAGGGTCTAACAGTTAACATAGATATTGGAGAACATAACGAATGAGATTTTGAATTAAACCAAGTTCTTTTACAAACTTTTTCAGTATATGTTGTAATACTCTTGTTGTCCTTCGTTGTAAGTAATAAAATAACAACGGAGTTAGTCACAAAAAACCCTTCGAGTTACAGAGTAGACAGGAGACAAGTTACAGGTCACGAAAATGTCATACTCTGCAGACCTCGAAACAGATATAAACGTTACAGACAAAGGATGGTTCTTTCTTGAAATTCATCCAAGATTCTTGCTTGAACTTCAAGAGTAAAAAGAATAAACTCAAGAATCTCGATTAGTGATATAATTCTCTCTTCCGTTTTTTTCTGTCATATTTATCTTCGTATCGATCGTTAAAAGAACAAGACTACAGAAAACAAAAAAAATATATGATACGAACGTTTTTTGTCATTGAGGCTTTATGCCTTATTCTTTATTCGAAAAAACTCAGTGAGTTTAACTATATATATATATATATATATACATGTGCTTTCGTTCGCTCGTTCTAGTAGCTTGTATTGTTCAGTGAAGCGTGATATGATTCGTATTTACAGTCGAAAAGACTTGTTTTTTTTTTCTTGTTGGTTGACGATTCATTTTAGACAATATTCAAGGTGTATTTTTGTATGGTTTAATCTGTATTTAATAAATTATTAGTTAGTTCACAGAATATTTGTTATTTATGAGTGATTTAAAAGAACAAACATCCACGGATAAACGTCGAGCCAGTGGATCTGTAAATACTTCCAAGATTTCCATTAAACATCGAAAAGCTGGTGAATTCGTTGCTCGTGAATCTTTACTAACTGAATTATTTCACAATCCACATATTAATTGTGTGAGAAATGGATTCATTGCTGGTTTTATTTTGATGATATTACGTCATCTAGTCGATGATTTACTTCATTATGGAAGGTAAAAAAAAGAATACCGATTTTCACAAATAGATCTTCACTCAGTTGTTTTTTTTTGTTAGACCAAATTGGACATTTGAATTGTTGTTTTTAACAGTTGGTCAATTACATATTACCATAATGATTTGGTCTGTTATGACTTTTTGTACAACTTTTGTTGTGTATTATGGAACATATATTTGGGCAAATAGTCGTAAATTTAGTGGAACTTCGCTTAGTATAATAATTGAATAAGAAAAAAAAAATAGATAATAAAATATTATTGTTTAGAATTATATGACATGTTTTGG